AGAGTGATGCGAGGAAGCATGCAGTTGTGCAACAACTCACAGATTCTTGCACACACCTTATTAGCCACTTTCTCAAGCACATACCTAATTTAGCTGTCAGGCCCCACGCACACGTTTTTATTCCCCAAACCCTGCAGTGACATTTTGCGTATAAGACGACATCCAATTTTAGACTAAAAAGTACTATTATATATATATTTTATTTTTTTTGTCTTGTTCTGATGAAAGTTCTTGGTTAGGATATATATTATATATGTAATATATACACAGTATCTCACAAAAGTGAGTACACCCCTCACATTTTTGTAAATATTTTATTATATCGTTTCATGTGACACCACTGAAGAAATGACACTGTGCTACAATGTAAAATAGTAAGTGTACAGCCTGTATAACAGTGTAAATTTTCTGTCCCTTCAAAATAACTCAACACACAGCCATTAATGTCTAAACCGGTGGCAACAGAAGTGAGTACACCCCTAAGTGGAAATTTCCAAATTGGGCCCAATTAGACATTTTCCCTCCCTGGTGTCATGTGACTCATTAGTGTTACAAGGTCTCAGGTGTGAATGGGGAGCAGGTGTGTTGAATTTTGTGTTATCACTCTCACACTCTTTCATACTGGTCACTTGAAGTTCAACATGGCACCTCATAGCAAAGAACTCTCTAAGGATCTGAAAAAAAGAATTGTTGCTCTACTTAAAGATGGCCTAGGCTATAAGAAGATTGCCAAGACCCTGAAACTGAGCTGCAGCACGGTGGGCAAGACCATACACCGGTTTCACAGGACAGGTTTGATTCAAAACAGGCCTCACCATGGTCGACCAAAGAAGTTGAGTGCATGTGCTCAGCGTCATATCCAGAGGTTGTCTTTGGGAAATATATGTATGAATGCTGCCAGCCTTGCTGCAGAGGTTGAATGGGTGGGGGTTCAGAATGACACTGTGGGCCCAATTTGGACATTTCCACTTAGGGGTGTTCTCACTTTGTTGCCAATGGTTTAGACATTAATGGCTGTGTGTTGAGTTATTTTGAAGGGACAGCAAATTTACAGTGTTATACAGGCTGTACACTTACTACTTTACATTGTAGCACAGTGTCATTTCTCCAGTGTTCACTTTTGTGAGATACTGTATATATACTACAATAAATATCAGGGAAGGTGCACTCACAGGACTTTGTAAATAAATCTTGAAGTTTTATTGTGCAATTAATACACCAGAGAATGTGTCAACGTTTCAGTCTTCTGTGGAACTTTTCTCAACACCTTCCTTGATACTTATATTTTAGCATAAGTGATTTGCACCCAGGCAAGGACAAGACCGGGAGAGTTAGTGCTCATGCACGTGCATTTATACACTGTTTTATATATATATATACATATATATATATATATATTTTTTTTTTTTTTTTTATTAAATTTGGGGAAACCACTTGAAGCATTCATTGTGTTTAGCTATTTAAATTGGTTTTGTTTAATTTGTTCATTGCAAGCAGCTGTAAGTCAATAAACCTGATTTTCAGTGAGGGTTGAATAATTTTGTTTACAACTGTACACTGTAAGAAACACAAATACATATTGGCAAATAAATACACATATTCAAACAGTCATGCACCGATACACACTCTCAGACACACACAGATAGAAGCTACTAGATACACACACACTAACTTACACAAATACAAATAAAAGAATATGCATTGTAATTTGAGATAGCATCTTATTCTACTTTAGAAGATAACAATGATTCAAGACGAATAATCAAAAAATGTGGTATAGACCCACAAATACTAGGCAAAGCCCATTTGAACTGAAGAAACCTACTAAGTAAAAAATACATTTATAACTAATAATCATGCAGAGGGAATTGTGCAAAGAATGTGCTAGTTTCTAGGAGAAATGTGATATGCCTGATAATTCGATTAAAATTTCACAAGTGTGTTAATGTGTTCCAGAGTGGAACCTAATCAATAGAGACCGTGCAATTAATATCACAGTAATTCAGTTTCAAAACTCAAATTATTATTTCTTTATCCTTCCTATTTTGCAGACTTTTTCAAAATCGGTGAAGGGGAGTTTGACTGCTGTTTTTACCTCCATTGAGAATGCAAAGTCTCTAATCTGCAAATAGCGAAAAAAATCTCCTGTCCTCAGCTCTATTCTGGTCGATAATCTAGAAAATAGAACTACCTCTCCTTCTGACCAAAGATCTACATATCTATGGATTCCTCCTGCTTTTAGGTTTTGAAAATTGTATTCTTCCAGGCCAGGGATAAATTGTCAGTAAAACAGGAGTCATAGGCGAAGGGAAGTTAGTTAGACCATGCTTTAACTTGAGTTTATCCCAAATGTAAAATGAGTTTGCTGCAGAAGGGCATATTTGTTTTAGCACTGGTCTTGAAACCATATTAAGCCACATATACAATCCTGGTGAGTCTGGTGTCATTAAGTCTTCCTCCATATCAGCCCATCTGTATTTCCCTTGGATTACATGCCAACCAATAATTTGTGCCAGTTGGGCTGCATAATAATACATAATTAAATTGGGGAGACCTAGTCCCCCTTTGTCTCTCGGTCTATACAGGAGAGTTCTGGCTACCCTGCGTCGCTTGCCCTGCCAAATAACTGTATCTATAGCTTTCTGGATGCCCAGTAGGTCCCCTTTGCAAACCCGTATAGACAATGCTTGAAATAAAAAAAGAAGCCTCGGTAAAATATTCTTTTTTATAGAATTAATTCTGCCGATCCATGAAATTGGCTTATTGTGCCAATTCTCTAAGTCCTTTTTCAAAGTTTTAATCAAAGGTACGTAGTTGTCTTTAAATAATGTATTGTAATAGCGTCCGATTCTAATACCCAAATAGCTTAGCCATTTATCTATACACATATCAAATTTAGCTTTTAGTTGGTCTTGTTCTGCCTCGGATAAATGAAAAGTCACTCCTCATGATTTATTATAATTTACCTTATAACCTGAAATAGCTCCAAATTGTTCTATCAACTTGAACAATTCAGGGATAGATTCAGAAGGGTTTGCTATAAAAATAAGTATGTCATCGGCATAAGCCGCTGTTTTATAAATCTCCCTACCTATTTGGATACCCTGTATATTGCCACTTTCTCTAATGTGAATTAGAAGAGGTTCTAATATGAGGGCAAACAGAATACGGGAGAGGGGGCATCCCTGACGTGTGCCATTATATATTCCAAACGGAGTCTTATCTGCACCAGTAGCTGTATTGTTGCTTGGGGATTCGAATATAGCGCTCGAATTATAGTAATGAAGTTAGCTGGAAAGCTCCAATATTGAAGCAAATAAAATAGATAAGGCCAAGTGACCCTATCAAATGCTTTTTCTGCATATAATGACAAGAGTATCAATGGTGTCTTCCCTGTTGCCATGACCCAAGCGACGTTGACTGCTCTACGAGTATTCTGGTACAGCTGTCTGCCCGGAACAAAATCTACCTGATCTGGGTGAATCAGGATAGGGAGTAAGGGAGAGAGCCTCAGGGCAAGGACTTTGGCTATTGTCTTTATATCGACATTTATCAGCGATATAGGTCTGTAATTTCCCACTGATGCGGGGTCCTTATCTTTTTTTGGTAAAAGAACAATTTTAGCCATTGTAAGATCAGCTGGAAGAACAAATTTCATCTATGACCTCTTGTAAATATGACATAAGAGTTTGTTGAAATATTTTATAGCCCTTGTGCTTTACCCCCCTTAATAGAAGAACATGCAGCTTTAATCTCCTCTATAGATATTTTTGTCAATCCTTCTAGAGCGCTTTTGGGGATTTGGGGTAAGTTCGTCCTACTCAAGAATTCTCTCAGTCTTACCTCCTGGTCCATACCCTCTCCATTCTCATTTATAAATTAACTATACAATCTAGAAAAATATTCCCGAAACACTCCATAAACCTCGTCTAGTGACGATACTAATATTCCTGAAGCATTTCTAATAGCTGAGATAGGTTTAAAGTGTGTTCGTGGTTTTAAGCATCTGGCCAGAGGAGAGTCTATTTTATTAGCTTTCTCATAAAAATATCTACGTGTTGTTTTTAACTGCCATACTGCTTCATCTAATGAAAGATTTTGGTATACCGAGCCAAGAGAAAAACAAAAAAAAAGTATATAAACCGAAAGGGGGAGAGAGGAACGGAGGAAAAAAAATAAATCCCTGCAATCCTCCCTTCCCTAATTTAAGCTAATACTAGAAACCTGATTTTCCTTGATATAGCATAGATCCTCTTACACTTTCCTAAAAATCTCGTTAACACATATAGGCCGTCATCAAACTCTGTACAGAGCCGTAAAGACCAATATTATCCTACTAAACAACATTTTCCTGCTAAATTGTTGTTGAGATTTAAATTTTATTTTTATACTGAGTATCATTTATGAAATACATACTCCTTTATAGCATGCTTATTTCTTCCCGTACATGCCTTACTATACTAAACCTTTGTCGTGCACTAATATGCTATGACTTAATCCATTTCTCGTAATCCCTTCAATTCCCTACTCACCCCTTCACAATCACAAAGAATATCACAATATATCCCACTTCCCGCCACCCTTCAGTCAGTCCTCTTCCTTCCCCTTTTACAAAAAGGGTTAACCTAGAGGAATAAGAACCTATTGTCCTTTTAACTTTGATTCTCTCTCGCATCATACCATTCTCTGGGTAGAGCGGGTAATGGGGTCTTCTGTAGAAATAAGGGTTTTACTCCCTCTGGGGTGACCAGACCCATAATCTGGAAAAATACATTAGCGCACTCCAGTGTCTTTAGTGCTATGATAATGGAATCTCCTATTATGTCTCTGGGACATTCGTCGTTCCTTCGTAGACAACCTGATAAGCGGTGCACCCTATCGATTTCCCATCTGGGTTCAGGAATGTATGGTAATAAGCGTCTAATAATTTCTAGAACCAAGTTCTGCACAGGGTCCTCATCTCTTGTTTCCGGTATCCCTCTAATTTTAATATTATTGCGTCAAGATCGATTAATAAGATCCTCAAATGCCACTTCTAAGGCATCAAGCCTTGTGCCCCATTCCGAGCTCTGTAATAATAAATCATTATGCGCTTTAGCCACAGCCTCTACCCTCACCTCTAGAGTGGCGGTCCGATTACTAATTGCCTGAATCTCTAATCTTATTTCCCTAGCATTTCTCTCAATCTCTCCCGCTAAAAATATTCTATCCTCTTTCATTTGTGCTAATATGCATTGTATGCCATCTGGCCCTGGTGTCTGCACAATAGGTATAGCAATGCTAGCTGTGTCAGCAGGTAAACTTTTACCTGATCCTTCCTCTCCTGAGTCTGGATGAATCTCGTGGCTATCCCCATTTTTCCTGCTTTCCAGGCTGTTTGTTGTGTCCAGGCCGCTATTCACAGCGCCAGAAGCTGCTCGCTTTGTGGATTTTTCAGCATCTTCATTTGCGTCCGCAGGTCTCGCTGGCTGGAACATGGTATGAAGAGAGTGGAGAGTGCTGCTCCTGGGCTTCGGCTTAGACCCCTTCCACGAGGATTTCATCAGTGGTAAGTCCAAAAAGGGGTATAATTTCCTTTTTCTTTACTTTTCCTTTTTGAAGAGAGCTCGGGGGATGCTGACCAAAAAAAAAAACTTCCTCGGCTGAAAGTGTTAATTACAGCGCTACACTGTTACACTGTTACGATAATGCAGCAATATGTAACGGTAAGTAGCAGTATGTAGCGGTATTACACTGCAGAGAATAGGGAGTAGGGAGAGATTAGGGAGAGATTGAATGATTGGAGTGGATAGAGTAGAGGCTGACAGGCTGAACGGCTGACCGGCTGGATGTGTAACTGTGCAACTGCAACTGCACCTCGACGAACAATTAGCTGAGGACTTCACTGGCACATACAGATTAGTTGAATAGAGTTAGAGGAAGGATATAATAATATATTATATTATATTTCATCTTCGGTGTCCGTTTATTCGGAGGCTTCAGTGAGAGAGCTCTCTGCCTGGACGTCAATCTACATCGACGGTCAGGCCACACCCCCATGAAGATTCTGCCAATGAAATTATTATTTCTGTCTCAGCCTTGCTTTCATTCTGACCAGATTTTCAGGAACAAAAATAATAATTCTGTTCTTTATAAACTTTAAGTTTTATTCTAAAATTCGACAAATTCATGCTTAATGGCAAAGCATAGTAATGATGAAACTACTTAATAACATCTCCTATAATCCTTACAGTTTCTACAGCTAGAAACTTACCTGTGATACAGCATTTTCCAAAATCATGCAGCTGTCCCTGTGTCCCATTATTACCAGACACAACTTGCAAAGCTTAAATTACATCTAGCTAAGATAGAAATAGAACTAGACCGAGGCATATTGCTGACTTTACAGTTGGCCGAGCTTAACGCTACAGAATAGTAACAGGTTACAGAATTTTCAGTAACTAGTTAAGGTCAAGGACAACAGATGGTAACAATAATGAGGAGACAAGTCAAGTTCAAGGATTACAGAAAGGAGAATAGTTATTGAAAGTCAAAATGCCAGGTATCAATACACTAAATTAGGCTCACTACAAAGAAGATCAGGAACACACACAAGCTCACTAAAGATAAGCTCACTGACACACACATGCTCACTAAATAGAATCTCACTGACACACACAAGCAATACCATCTTAACAGCATTAAGGGCCCCCAGGGCAAAGCACTGCAATGGCGCCCGTCCTACACAACAACTCACAGGAATAAAAATTTAATTATTAATAGATCGCTGAGTACATACACACAGTACACTGAATACGAACACCAAGAGACTGCTGAATAAACACACACACACAGACTGCTGATTCCATACACACACACACAGACTGCACACACAAAGACTGCTGAGTCCATACACACACACACACAGACTGCTGAGTACTTACACACACACACAGAGACTGCTGAATCCATACACACACAGACTGCTGAGTCAATACACACACACAGACTGCTGAGTCCATACACACACATAGACTGCTGAGTCCATACACACACACACAGACAGACTGCTGAGTCCATACACACACACAGAATGCTGAGTCCTTACACACACACACACACACCCACACACACACAGACACAGACTGCTGAGTCCACACACACACACACACACACACACACAGACACACAGACCACTGAGTCCATACACATACATAGACTGCTGAGTCGATACACACAGACACACAGGCTGCTGAGTCCATACACACACACACACACACACAGACTGCTGAGTCCCTACACACACACACACACACAGACTGTTGAGTCCATACACACACACACACACACACACAGACTGCTGAGTCCACACACAGACACACAGACTGCTGAGTCCATACACACACAGACTGCTGAGTTCATACACACAGAGACTGCTGAGTCCTTACACACACACAGACTGCTGAGTCCATACACACGCACACAGAGACTGCTGAGTCCTTACACACACACACAGACTGATGAGTCCACACACACACACACACACACACAGACTGCTGAGTCCATACACACACACATAGACTGCTGAGTCCACACACACACACGCACATAGACTGCAGAGTCCATACACACACACAGATTGCTGAGTCTATACACACAGACACACAGACTGCTGAGTCCATACACACAGAGACTGCTGAGTCCATACACACACACACATACAGACTGCTGAGTCCATACACACACAGACTGCTGAGTCCATAGGTAGGTAGATAGGGTAATATGCCACTCTGATCGACTCAACCGGACAGTTTGCTGTCTCCTGGGTGCTCGGGTCCGGCATGTTGCCGACAGAGTGAAATGATTATTGGGAGGGGCTGGAGATGACCCAGCTGTCATGGTCCATATTGGTACCAATGACAAAGTCAGAGGAAAATGGAAGGTCCTAAAGAATGAGTTCAGGGAACTAGGAAGTAAGCTAAAGAAAAGGACCTCCAAGGTAATTTTTTCAGAAATATTACCTGTGCCGCGCGCTACAGCAGAAAGGCAGCGGGTGATTAGAGAGGTCAATCCGTGGCTAAAGTCTTGGTGCAGGGAAGAGGGTTTTGGGTTTTTAGAGCACTGGGCCGATTTTGCGCTTGGGTACAACCTGTATAGTCATGATGGATTGCACCTAAATGGAAGAGGGTCTGCTGTGCTGGGGGATAGGATGGCTAGAAGGTTGGAGGAGATTTTAAACTAGTGGTGGGGGGGAGGGTCAAAGCAACCTAGAAAATGGAGATAGGATGGAAAGAAGATGGTCTTTAGCTCAGAACAAAGGGGGTGGAGATGGGGGAAGGGGAAAGCTCAGAACAGAGGAGGTATGTAATAGTAATAGTGATAATTCACAAAAAGTACAAAAGATAATATTAAATGTATGCTTACTAATGCAAGGAGCCTATATAACAAAATGGGGGAACTAGAGGCAATAGCATACACTAAACAATATGATATAATAGGCATAACAGAAACATGGTCGGATGAGACACATGACTGGGCAGTTAATTTAAATGGGTACACGTTATTTAGGAAGGATAGGAAAAACAAGAAGGGTGGTGGGGTATGTTTATTCGTCAACCATGAGTTAAAGTCAAATCTTAGGCATGTGGAGTGTGACGAGGAAAAGGTGGAGGCTTTATGGGTAGATATCTGCTTGGGGCAAACAAAGGGAAATCAATTATTGGTTTGGATATGTTATAAACCACCTAATGTAAATATTATTGAGGAAGAACAGCTGTTAGAGCAAATTGAGAAAGCTGCAAATCGAGGTAACACGTTAATAATTGGAGATTTTAATTATCGAGACATAAATTGGGAAAAAGGGACTAGTACTTCAGCAAGGGGCATCAGGTTTTTGAATGTGTTAAATGACACCTTTATGTCACAACTGGTACAAGCACCAACTAGAAAGGATGCTTGTCTGGATCTCGTCATAACAAACAATGTTGATCTTTTAACCAAGATTCAAGTAGGGGAGCATTTGGGAAATAGTGATCACAATATGGTAAATTTTGAAATAAACTCAAAAAAACAAAAGCAAGTGGGGTATACTAAAACATATAATTAAAAAAAAAGCCAATTTCAATAAGATTAGGGTAGCTCTATAACATATCGACTGGCATAAACTCCTTAGTGATAAAAACACTGAGGATAAATGGAAACTATTCAAACAAATATTAGAAAGGTACATTTCTCAGTATGTACCATTGGGTAATACATATAAAAGAAACAAATTAAAACCAATGTGGCTTAGTAGAGAAGTAAAACAAGAGATTAAAAATAAGAAAAGGGCATTTAAAGCATTTAAATCAGACAAAATCAAAGGCATCCTATTTAAGATATAAGGAAGCCAATAACGCTTGCAAAAAGGCAATTAAAGTGGCTAAACTAGAAAATGAGAAATTGATAGCTAAAGAATGCAAAACCAACCCCAAAATTTTTTTCAAGTACAAAAAAAACAAAAAATGAAAGTGTGGGTACACTTGAAACAGAGTTGGGTTTATTAGCTAATGAAGACCAGGAAAAAGCAGAAATTTTAAATAACTATTTTTCTTCAGTATATATTAATGAGGATCCTATGGCAAGAGATATGCAAATGATTGCTGCAAAAAACTTGCAAATAACTTGTGATTGGATAACTCGAGACAAGGTGCTACAGCTATTAAAGAAAATTAATGTAAATAAAGCTCCGGGGCCTGACGGTATTCACCCACGAGTACTTAAGGAGCTAAGTGGGGAAATAAGTTAACCTCTGTATTTAATTTTTGAAGATTCTTTTGTTTCAGGTGTTGTACCGGAGAATTGGAGGAAGGCAGATGTTGTTCCTATATTTAAAAAGGGTTCAAAATCCTTGCCTGGGAGCTTAACTTCTGTAACTGGGAAAATATTTGAAGGGCTATTAAGGGATAATATTCAGGAATTCATTGGGAAGAACTTTGTTATTAGCAATAATCAGCATGGTTTTATGAAACATAGGTCATGTCAAACTAACCTTATTGCATTCTACGAAAAAGTAAGTAGAAGTATAGATCAGGGTGTTGCAGTGGATGTGATCTACTTGGATTTTGCCAAGCCATTTGATACGGTTCCTCACAATAGATTAGTCTTCAAACTAAAAGAAATTGGTCTAGATTAATATTCTTGTTCTTGGGTAGAACATTGGCTTAAGGATAGAGTACAACGAGTTGTAATTAATGGTAAATTTTTAGGCTGGACAAAAGTGGTAAGTGGTGTCCCTCAGGGCTCTGTTTTGGGACCGCTTTTATTTAACATATTTATAAATGATCTTGAAATAGGCATTGAAAGCCATGTATCAGTGTTTGCAGATGACTCAAAACTTTGTAAAGTAATAAAATGTGAGCAGGATATTGCTTTGCTGCAGAGGGATTTGGATAGATTGGGGGACTGGGCACTAAAATGGCAGATGAACTTTAACGTAGAGAAATGCAAAGTTATGCACTTCGGGGTTAAGAATGCACTAAATGGTAGTGAATTAGGGATAACCACACACGAGAAGGATTTGGGA